ATGGAACATCCATCACCATAGAACATTCTCTCGTGCCTGTTCCCAATCAGTCCCTCCAAACCCCACCCACACGTTCTGATTTCTGTCACCCTATGTTAGTTTTGCTTGTTCTTGGACTTCAAATAAATGTACTCTCGCAGCATATACTCTTTTGTGTCTTGTTTCTTTCACTCAAGAAGGTTTATCCATGTTGCTATGTGTGTCCGTAATTTCCTTTATTTTGCTAAGCAATGTTCCCCTGTATGGTTATATATAATTTATCCATTGTCCTGTTAATGTAAATTTGGATTTTTAAAGTTTTGGGCTGTGATGAATAAAACTTTAATAACTATTTTTGTATTGGTCTTTTGTATATGTGTGTGTGTGTGTGCAGATGTACATGTGGCTTTTTTTTCTCTTGGGTAAACATCTAGAAGTAGAATTGCTGAGCCAGAGTCATTATGTTAATATGTCTGTCTTCTAAATGGTTTTCTAAAGTGGTTGAACCATTTTATATTCCCAGCAGCAATGTCTGAGGTTTCCAGTTACTCCACATTCTCATTAACTCTTGGTCATGTCAGTCTTTTCATTTTAGCCATTGTAGTGTGTGTGAAGTGGTATCTCATTTTGGTTTTAATTTGCATTTTCCTAACAACTAATAATGTTGAGTATCTTCATGTGCTTTTGCCCATTTTTCTGCTGCTTTTCTGATGTGTTCAAGTCTTCTGCTCATTTTTTATGAGGTAGTTTGTTACTTTGTTATTGACTTGTCATTTCAAAAAATATATTCTCTATACAAGTCTTTCAGAAATAATTATTGTGAATATTTTCTCACAGTGGATTGCCTTTTTAATTTTCTTCACAGTGTCTTTTCATCAGCAGAAAAATTTAATTTTGATGAAGTACAATTTATCAATTTTTTATTTTATATGTACCGTGATATTTTTTCCCAATTTTCTAAATTTGTGTGGGTATATTGAACTATTTCGTATGTTGATCTTTTATCCAAAGACCTTGTCAAATTCACTTATAGCTCATCTGTAGATGATTTTGGATTTCATATATACAAAATCAGATCATTTGCAAATAATGATAGCTTTAGTTTTTTTCAGTCCTTGTGCTTTTTATTTCTTATTCTTTCTTGCACAGGCTAGACCTTCAGTACAATGTTCATTCGAAGTAATGATAGCAATTATCTTTCTCTTGTTCTCAGTATCAGAAAGGCAGTGCTCAGTATTCATCATTCATCATTTAGTATGATGTTTGGTATAGGTTTTTAGTGACTATCAGGTTAAGAAAATTTTCTTTTATTGCTAGGTTTCTAAAACTTTTAATCTTGAATG